GGTTACCTGTGGAGTGAAATTATGGGATAGAAGCACATGGTCGAGAGCGGAGAGAAGGGAGGTTGGCGGGCAAATGGTCGAACCTTTATGATCCTTTATGACCCTTTATGATCCTTTATGATCCCTTTGATTCCCATTTGTGATCCCTTTTTTATTGTTGATCAATGTAAATCGATGTAAACAAGAAAAGGTTAAAGTAAAGTTTAAGATTGTTGATCAGAAAGGTGTTATTCGTCGATCAAACCGCTCGCCGAACGCAAACAACGTCACACATGACTTTTTTTAGACGCCCATGGTCGATTAAAGGATGGTTTGAATATTTAGACAAATAATTTATTCACGGGCTTAAAGAGTCTTAAAGTTTCAGCAGTTATATTTTAAACTATTTTTTATCAGTAATCGAGTTATCTAACGATGGCCGAAAATTTGACATCATAGTTAAATAAACTAAGCTGGTGATAACGGCTTTACAATAAACTTTCGATACCGATTTTTATGTTTTCTGTAAGCCAAACTTACAACACCAAGGGATTTAATTTATTATTCATGTTAATTTGTAATGGCTTCCAACGCTGAATTACAGTCAGAACAATCAAACTCTGATCACTTCGAGCTTTTGGTCATCGTGTGAAAATGTACACCGTGAATCATCCCTATCGGGTATATTGTATTAGGATTTTTTAAGATTCAATTCTTCCACTCCCTCCCCCACAGGAAATATTTTGCATCATGTCGAAGCATGTGATGCTGTCCTATCAATGGGACAACCAGTCGTTGGTAGAAAAAGTATACCACGCGATTCGAGCACAGGGGATAAAGACGTGGATGGACATTTATGGTGGAGTGAAGGGAAACATCAATGAAAGGTTAGCAGATAGAAAACTTGTTGGTTATTTCGAGGTTGAGGAGAAAACTTGGTCGACTTTGTATTACAACGCTTTGTGGGGCTGCTGACATATTTTAAAGATGGCGTCTATTTTGTCCATAAAATGCACTTCCAAGACCTCTTTACCTTCGGGTGAAATGTTACTCCGTTTAAGATCACGTTTTATTATCTTGAGAATAAGTTTCTTTGTTTGAGTCGTATCCATATTCATGTGTCTTCTCATGTCACGACCCTTAAACAAAGAAATGATACTCTAGGGAATGACACGTGGTCTGAAATGGAAAAGCGTTGCTCCACGCCGAAATAAGATATATCGTAAACAATTCATTTTATAATTAACTTTTTTCTAGCATGGCCGAAGGTGTCGACAACGCTGCTGTTGTGTGCTGTTTTATGACAACTAAATACTCGGTAACTATAACCTTTAAGCCCAGCCGATGGCGATCACCTAAGCTGTAATTAATAATTTAATTCTTTGTTCACTGGACGAAGATTCCCTATTCTCGTACACAGACTCTTCTCTGCTTCCTAACGAAGCATCGATATTTCGTTAGAAAATTCGGAATGGTCGTTAGAAAATTCGGAATACTGCTAGCGTGCATAATGTACCGCCCTCGTTCAAAGTGATCAGCGCATTATCCTAGACTTTTTTAGCTTTGTATGCAAATTACATCACATGACATTCCATTGTTCTTTTATGACCAACATGTTCAAATACACATGAAAGAATCAACTCCCAAGAGTGACATCACATGGTCTGAAATGTGCACAACAAACAACGAAGCTAAAAAGGTCTTCTCACAAGTTTTTACTTTTCATGATATCAGGAATCAAAAAATTGTAAAAAGGAATTGAATTACGCAGACGCTCAGGATGTTCCTGTCGTGCCCGTCATGTGCGAGAAAGGCTACAAAGCAAAGGATGGCTGGGTGTTATAACAGCCGGGGCACTGTGGATTGATTTCAGGTGGGTAGAAACAGACAGACGCACGGTCACCCAGCAATTGCTCACGATCAAAATGCTAAGACACAAAGCCATCCGGCACGATCACGGTACGACACTGTCCACAACGCGAGTCCACAACTTAATCTACAGAGAAAAAGTAATGAACAACAATATAATGGAGCGCAGATAACAAACTCTTAATTCTGCTTTGCTTAGCATTATTTTCATCTTTTCAGACCTGTGTTATTCGTCGATGAAAATAACTTAGCAAGAATTCATGAGGGTAGAGAATTAAGACCCGGACAAACGATGCGTCTTTGCTCGCGACGTTGCTTGTAACGGAGAAATCGCAGCGTGTGTCCACGGTGCAACTGTTGCACGTGACTTCGACAAATCTAATACGATGTTGCAAGGAAGTCGCTACGTGTGACATCCCTCAAAAACCCAGTTACATGCAGGAGGCGACGTTGCATCGCGGGTCCGGGCTTTTACATTTATTTCTACAATGCCTGCTGTTTTCAGGGATCCCAATAACTTCAACAAGAGTATTGAATCTCTGGCCAACGAAGTCATGCAGGCAGCAGAAGAAGATGTGAGCATTTCTGAAGCCGAGCAGAAAGAGGCTGTGGCCCATGTCCCAGCCGAGGCTCCCAAGACGGTGGTCAAGAAGAAGCCAGGGCGAGCTTTCCGTCATAAACTGCTTGGGAAGTTCTTGGCCGAGTCTGGTAAGTTTATTCTCTGTTTATTCTCTGTTTTAATTTATTGACCTCTTTAACTTGGATGCAGTGTTTGTCCTATTTCAGATATCGCATGCTTTACTCTCTTGAGCATAAGATTCTTTGTTTGGATGGCATCCATATTTATGTGTCTTCTCATGCACAACCGTTAAACAAAGAAAGGATCCTCTAGGGAATGACACATGGTCTGAAGAAATGAGAAAACATTACGCCCAAGCTTGGTTTTGATCATTATTAGAGTGGTTTTGATCATAAATAACGTTTTTGTACCTATTGTTTCTAAGGTCAGGTCAAGTTTCATCCAGCCAGCGGTAATCGTAGTACCCTGGTGCTAAGGGATACCCCAGAGGACACCAGTTACTGGGTGGAAGAAAAAGGCAAAAAAGAATCGGGCATCGTGTTTTACAAGAACTATGCAACCAATGGTTACTTGGGTAAGAAAACTACTATCACGTGATTTTGTTCGATTGGACTTCGCTTTTTTATAAAATCTTATCACGTGATTTAAATTAGTTGTGATTTGTTTTTTAAAAGTTATCACGTGATAGGAAATCGTGGTCACGTGGTTGCGATAAATATTGTCTTTGTTTGCAATCGGGCTTTGCTTTTTCTATTTCATCAGGTGATTTAAATGCAGAGCTGTAATTTGGTATTCAAAATTTATCACGTGATCAATCGAGAATCAATATATACCTTGTGATTGGCTCTTCTAAACCAGGATTAGCACGTAATCATAATACAGACTTATGATTGGTTATTTTTTAATCCAACAGGGTACGATGCAAATGGGGATTACACTTACACCAAAGGTCAACATTACGGCGCGGAGGAATGGATATTGAAGGCAGACGAGCATTCCAGCAATGGCGAAAGGGCTGTCGTCTTGTATGCTAATTATGGCAAAAAATACTTGGCAATCAGAAACGGCAAACTGACCGGGGTGAATTCTTACTCTAATGATTGTGTGTGGATCCTTGCATAAATAACACAGGGATCCCACCGGTCTTACTCCAAAGATCAATATGTGTAAATGGCATAGGGATCCCAAACGGTGTACAGTTTCAATGTATGTTACGATTCTTTTCCTTCCTCTATTTACAATAAATGAAAACCGGAAAAAAACATGACTTCAAGTCAGGCGATATCAGTCAAAACAATGCGTACTTTTTTGAACTTTTTCCGAAAACGATTTCTTTTAATATATAAAAATAAGGTATATTTACATGCTTTTGATTTTTCGGTTATATATGATTCGAAACAAATGGAAAAAGGAAAGTATTATAGATAAATTTAGAACTGAACTACTTTCATTCAAAATGAATTCAAATCAGTGTTTATGGAATACATTCAATCATGAATACATTTGGTCAGCGGTAAGTAATAATATTATACATACTGCTAAGAGTGCGGGCGCATGTACGAAATGTTTTAGCATTAGTATACGATATGTCCATTGAGCTCCTCAGGGGTCAGATCTCGTATTTTAGCAATAGCATTTGAAGACATAACAATGTGTCTTTGAATATAGTCCTTGTATCCGAGGGGACCACTAAAGCTATGACGAGGAGACAAGGTCTCTGTTGATCTCCATTCCTTTGCCAAAGGCTCCATTAATCTTTTCAGTCCACCATCGTTGCTAATAAGTCCAACGTGTCGATATGCAAGCGATGGCTCTCCAAGTTTTCCCGTCGTGAAACGCCTTTTTTTAGGTTCAGGGAGAGGTTTAACTTTTGCATCGACTTGCCTGGAAAAGATATGCGTCGTTGGCAGACCAGCGGAGTGCGGTCTTGGGATAGGCTCTGTCATCAAAGCAGACTCTACAGTTGAAGTTACGCAGACAGACTCAAGGGATGAAAGGGTGGAGTCTGGCTTTGTCATGTCATCCACTGTTTTTGTGATCTCGTTCAATCGTGTACCCAGGACACTCAATGGAGGTTGTTTGACCTTTGGCGTGGTTCTCGACGTCTTTCGTTCGATCTTCTGTTCTCTCTCCCTCATTTCTTTCAAGAGAGCACCAGTGAACTGCGTAGTCTTGCGCAGAAAGTCACCGTGGTCTGTCGCGAACGCAATGTTGTTGATTTTCTTTTTCATTTCTTTGTTGTCGGCTCGAAGTTCTTCCAGCTCTTTCATTGCTTTTTCCAATTGCTTTCGTACCTCGATCACGTTGGCCTGTATTTCCTTGTCATCGCCATCTTTACTTCGTGCACAGTCAGCTGATTCTAATTCAACAGGGAGCCCATCACCTGGGATTTCCTCCAAACTCTCTTGATTTAATTGTTCGATTCTTTCGTCTTGGGACTCGTTTTTCTTTTGTAAACCATCAATTTGTTCAAGGCCGCATACTTCAGTTTCTGTACTTGCATCTTGCGTGGTCTTCGCTTGATCCTTTTTAGTCGTTTCAGTAACAGGGAAAACAAACAAATTTTCTCGTTTGCCATCGACATTATCGTGAGGGAAATCAGACGACCCATTCTTGCGCATACGCAGTGACTGTGACCTAACCAAAGGGTGGGAATTCTTTTTATCAACAAGTGATTGCAGGTCACGTGAGAGCCGCTCGTTCAGTCCTTGAACCATGGACATATTCTTCTTGACGTCAAGCAGTTCTTTTTGAATTCTACGAAACTCGACCATAACTTTTTTCTTCGTATTTTGTTCATCCGATTTAAAAGAACATTGGCTCAGGGAAAGAGTGTCACTCGAGCTGCAATCGCTGTTTTCATCTCCTTGCGAAGCATCTTCGGGGGGTTCCCTTGGTTCTCCACCAACAACGGACTTCTCCACCAAGTTTTGCTTTACCTCTTCCTGGACTCCTTTCTGGCATCTTTCTTTGTGTATTGGTTCACCGGTGATGATGAAGCAGGACATCTTTTCACATGGAATGTTTTTATCACTGTCATTTATTTTCCTGTATAGCTGAGGTTCTTCCAAAGGAATGCTGTTTTGTTTAACTTCAACCACGTCTAATGGCACACTCTCAGACCGGTTTTCCAAAACACTTTCTTCGCGCACTTGTCTTGTACTTCTGATGTCTAGCAGCTCCTGTTTCAGACTGTCGTTTTCTTCAATTGCCCTCTCTTTATCTCGCATCGCTTTGGCCAGTTTGAAAGTCAGTGCGCATACTTGTTGGGTCTTGAGGGATTTCAGCTCTGCGTAGCGAACATTTTCATTCTGTAATTGTTCTTTTAGTTTCTTCACTTCTTCTAGTAAGCTGTCTCTTTCGCTTAGCAAAGCTGTCATCGTGTCATCAAGGCTGTTTCCCGCGGCCTTGTCCTTGCTTTTGGCCATCTCCTCTTGTTCTTTGCCACTAGCCTAAGTACACAAGGATGATGTCACATTAGCACCTAGTGTGTCTTATCCACAATAAAGTGTGATCTATTTTTTCCCTCTGTTCTTAGCTAAAGAGAAAACATTTCACTTCAGTCTAAGTGATGATATGAAACACTATGGAGGGCAACCCAAGTATTTTGTTGTTGTTGTTGTTATTCGTGTTTTTACTTATGTTTCTTTTCATTTTATTTTCTAATTCAGAACATGGTTCTATTTTCAGCGACTTCAATTTTTTGTTCATGATATCTTCGGGTGCTTTCGTTCTCAGTTTAGAGCAGGAGCAAGCACAATGCACTCGAGATGTACCGTAAGCTATTCCTCAAGCTCTGATGAACGAAAGCTCGGCTGCTCCATATGAGATATCGATCGTAATGAAGCTAGACTCTTAAAAGATATTTTTATTTAATTATTTATTCATATCTAAAAAAGATACAAAAAAAGCGCTACGATGGAAAAGTATTGGTTATTTGCCACCAGAAATACAGGAATCCGAGAACAGTCATTTAGTGATTTTCTGTGAAGAACTGATTTCAAGGCTAATCAAGGTTACTTAACCAGGAGAATCCACTGTGCGCTATATTCAATTAGCAACCACTTTAGCAAAAATAGCTGTTAAAGTCAATCATTCTAAGAACTTCTCTAAACAATCAGAGTCTAATAAGACAGCAATCTTTACCTTTTGTTTGCTTATCTTCCTGATTCTTTTCAACATGGTATGATTGATTCTAGATGAAGAGACAAAATAATATTCAGTGTAATATTCTTACGCGTGCTGCAACGTTACAATATCAATTTTTCCTGGAATGTTTTAAAAACCATAGATGATAGAGGGGAACGGTAAACAGGTTTTTTTTCTTGACCAAATCATAGTTAATAATACCTATCATCAAATCAGTGGCACTGATTTCGTCAGTGGAAATCAGGTGCTTTAAATGTGAAGACTGATGATAAAAATTAACGGGATTTAACTTGTGTTTTAGCGTTTTTCCATGCTTTAAGCTTCAGTTAATAGTGTATATRTGGTCGAAGCCAAGAAAAACAATTGAAAGCCACTTTGATGTTATGCCAATTCATGCGACGTTATTTTCAACTAATTGAAAATTTTTAGACTAAAGTACATATGATTTAAATGTAAGATAGAGAAAAAACAAGAAAGGACAAAGTTCACAAAGTTCTGCAGTACCTGATAACAAAATAAGCACTGGGTCATACCTCTACTGAGCCATTAACGTGCAGGCAATATTAAGAACAAAAGCAACAGAGCTCACCCAATTTCTTTGACAGGAAGAATATTCTTATTACTCAAAAACATTCTGGCAGTCAGTCAAAATTGAAGACACATTTTAAGTCCATAAGTTTTAAAAGAAATTCAAACTTTTCCACAAAGAAAACATAAGTTGCGTGTCTGTGAGCTGTGACACTACTATGGCAACAACGAAGCGCAAACTAGAACTAAGCCAAACTAAAGTGAATATATCAATAGAAAATGATAATAATGACAATAATATCAATAATGTCGTAATCAAAGCACATAAAATTGAGAATTTTTTGTAATGATTAATTATCAAAATTATAGTTTTTAAGAAATCCAACTTACTTTTGGTTGTTTCAGTGTTGACCAACCGTCGAACAAACTCTTCAATGCATGCTCGCTTTGTTGGCTATTTAGTCTTTTTCTTTCAGGTAACTTCCATTGATCGCCAACATGAACACTAAAGAATCGACTGAAATCTTTGGAATGAAATAGAGAGTTGAATGAGTCAGTTTTGATGCAAAGGTTTGAATTTCTTGGCCTGTAAAACGTCGTGGAAGCCCTATCAAAGGTAAACTCATATCTACTCTAGTTATTGAATAGTTTTATGGTATTAATCCTTCATCTTAATCCTCTTGTTTTGTTTTTGTCAAGTAGATCACAGTAAAATTAAAGGTCTTTGTGTTATGCAAACAAAAACAAATCCTATTCTGTCGACAAAGAGTATTGAAAACCAACGCTTTTATTGTTTGGTATTCAAATTGGCGCCACAACCGAGGCGTGCAGCTTTGTGTGCTATAATTTTGAGCGCGAACAGGACGCGACGCGCGCGGTTCATCAAACGCGAACTACCACGTTGGATGACATGCCTTATCGATGGGTTGCAAGCATTCCCAAGAGAGTCAAAAGATAAAAACAAGGCGGCCATTGTGGGATCATTAATGACGGATACTAATGAAAAATCTATCGTTAAATGGCACCAACATGGCCGCGATGACGTAACGTGCAATCGAAGAATTCGGGCTGATGCAAAATTTACTCAAGTTTCTTAAGCCATTCTAGCTATTTTTTCCATCTCAGACCTGTTTAAAGTTATATCCTACGATTCGAAAGTTTCCAGCACAAAAGACCTGTCAATAATGAACGGGGACAGAAAGCTTGGGTTTAATTCCTATGGTAAAGTTTTGGCAGCCTTTCATTTGAAAATTTTTCATTAACGTTTAATATAAATTTCTGCTTTTTTACCGTGGTTACTGTACCCTGGGGTATGGTTACTGTGGTCGTGGTTTAATCTAAGCGAGTTTGGTAGGAGGGAGCTCTTCACTTGTCTCCAGACCTCTCTCTCTCAACAGAGAAGGCCAGGCATGAGGCTTATTCTGCTCCTTTACTTCCCTTATCCCTCATATGCATCTTTTTTCCAATTCTAATCTACTCATGTATGCATCTGAAGTAGGTTATTGATCAATGATAGAAAAAAACTTTTTTGGTCAAGGTGAGCAAAATTTATAATTTTATGATTATTGTTTTTCTCATATTATTTTTCGAGGTATAGTTCAAACTAGTTTATTAAATTTTTTTCCCAGCTATATTTGTAGGCACTTTATTGTCCATCTTCCAATGTCATCTTTTTAGTGAGCGTTGAGAAGGAAGTTGATTTGCTGAGCGCAATCACGTGATCACTCCCATTAGACGAAGTTAGAGATTGAGTCTGTTTTTACCTTCGTAATTTTCTTTATAGAAGCTAGCAATTTTTCTTTCTAATATTGAAAAAATAGAATGGAAAGAATAAATTTACCGCAAAGATGTACTAGGGGAGCAATATTGAATTTCGCTATTCATTATTTACAGGAAACGTTTTAATAGCTTTGAACAGATTAGCTGAATACTATCAATTTAATAGTCGTTCATAGCCTCAATGGTTTTTAGCCTGATAATACGATATTTATGGATTTTCTTTTTAACTGACAGAATGTTCTGGCGTGAGCACTTTATATTAATAAGGAAGCCAGTGAATTGCAGGGAAGCCATTAAAATGAAGCGACGTCAACGAGGGACGATAATAAAATAGTCACTTCGCAATATTTACTTCTCCTAGCTGATAAATAGTTTCGTACAATATTGAGCGCACGTAATTTGTGAATAGAACTTTACGATATTTGATTCGGGGTTGGTACGTGAGAGTAGTTATTGGCGAAAAGTTTAATCAAAGTAATAGGCATTTTTCAAAGATAGTGGCAAATTATTCAGTCTCGATTTTCTTCTTCCTGAGTCATTCATTCGTTTGTCATCCTCCTTCTTAATCTTCTTGAAAGCTATTTTCAACTTGAATTTCTATTTTTGATTAAATTCAAACTACAGTACTGACGTACGAAGAGTCATGCTACGTACTAATAGAGAGAATTTGGACAAAATGCCGTGACAACAGCTGGGAAACAAAGTATAATATGACAGAAAATCTTTTCAGTGCCTAGAATTGAAAACTAATTTGATGCATTAATCATTTCCAAACGGACTGAACGAAACTTGCTACGCAATATCGAATGTAGAGTGCGTGCTATAGGATAGTCGGAAAATTCTGTCTTTTCTTTCCATACTTTCCCTTTTTTCTCTCCTTTCTTCCCTTTCTCCCTTTCTTTCTTCCCTTTCGTTCTCTTTCTCTTAAAATGTACTATATATATACGTATACAAAATACGTGGTTTTATTCATAAATATTTGATTTCACAAAGATATGTACAGAGTCTGGATATTTCTGTGTGACGTTCACAATAACTTCCTATGAGATCACAATGATAAATAAATCAGTTCGGTTTATTTATAGCGACCTTTTTGTTTCTCGCTTTAGTTGATATGCTTTATCTAGTTAGTAATAGTTTTATTGAAAAGGCGATAAGATGGCAATGAACAATACATAAAATTTTGGTTTTAAGTTGCTAATAATCTATATATTTACGACGCTAATCTTTTTCTTATGATGAAGTATAATTGCTAAGCTTCGTTTATACAGATAGTGGTAGGCTTTGAAATTTTCCTACAAATACGTAACTACTCTCAAACCGCATTGATAACACTGTATTTTTTCACATGAAAAGCTTGCAGTACCAAAGCTTAACGCGTGGATTAGAAAAGGTTTTTCACTATAAATACGGAGGTTTGTGAGTTCTAGTGTTTGAGGTTTGAGGGAGCTAGACTTTAGTACAAATATCTCAACAAAGCTCTACTCGTCCTCTGGCTTTAGATATATGATTTTCTGATCGACATTTGACATATATATATWTWTTTTTTCAAATTCGGGTTCCCTGACTTCTGACTTCCCGTTCATCTGCACTAATTTGAAGAAAAACAAGTCAAAAAATATAGTAAATTGCTGATTGAGAAGATTTCATTGAGCAGGAAAATCGAGGAACTGAACTATGACATTCAAATGGCTTTGATTAAAAAAGCGACGGACGAATATTGATGTCATTCACTGACTGACACGCCTAAATACGGTGTACATGTTTCCCACTCAATTGAAATTTTGCTTTTCTGAATCACTTCTATATTTGTAAAAGGAAATCCTTAAATCATTACGGGCTTTTGTCAAAATAGAGCCAAAGCTCCTAGACGGCCAGTCGCTCAAGTTGAACAAAAAATCCTAGATGTGAGAGATGAATTCGCTGGTCCTTTTGTCAGCCAGTCCGCGTTTTCTTCTGTTTACACGACTAGTATTGGTATACAGCCCTTCTGATTATATATCGCCTGATAACGTTAGAGTACACAGTCTTTCTGTCTATCTTCTGATAAAATAATAATCTAGTCTATACGGTTTGGCAGAGTGACTTGCAGTCTTGCAATACTGCTTGAGGACACATTTGGCGGTTACAGGAGCGGAGTGGTTCAACCAAACCCTAGAAGAAAAAAATTGTACAAATTAATAAAAAAATGTATCAGGGTACTTAAAATAAATTGATTAATAACTTTAGATTGATTCAATGTGGATTTAAAAAGTGTTGTGATCGGATACCGATGACAAATCGCGGGAAAAACTTTGCAAACGCGGCATTCCCAAAGCGCGGGAAATTTTTTTCGAGTAAATTACGATTTCTCATAGATCGCTCCTCTTACTATCTCGAACGGAAATGAGAATAATAAACAAAATGAGGCAAAATCAAGATTAGCAAACACCAAGCACACTGCCGTGTGAAATGGATCTTTCGGGATTTTGAAACAAAATCGTAAATTATAAAGGTTACGTCAGGAATTAGTCTCTATTTAAATAGCCTTTTAGGTTTAGGCCTTTATTATTTTCAGCTTTTCCGGGTTGTTTTATAATCCTTGACATCAGAACCAATATTATTTTTTGTCTTCCGTGTTAATTGGGCCGAAAAAACGCATTTGCCTCAAAAACCTCCAATGAAAAGGAGGATAGACTGCATGGTATTCAAAATGTTAGTTAAAAAGGAAGTCAGTTCAGTATAGTAATTTACTAAAACATCACTCAACAATACAAATTGATGTCAATGAACATCCTTACTTCTCTCCATCATTAACTTCTTTTTAAAAATTTTGATGAAAAATGGATTATCTTAAAAGCACGTACGTGGGTAAGTGCATGTATCATGGATCGGAATGACAGTCACGCTAAGGTGTTATGGCATATGGTGCAATGCTGATAGTGGTGATAGTGAATGGGGAAAAACGAAAATCAAAGGAAACAAAAGAAAAAGAAAAAGGGAAAGCGAAAGGGAAAGGAAAGACTGAAAAAAACTAAATATGACTAAGAAGAGATAACTAGCTAAAAACTAGTGTGAGCTGCGTCGGTGTTTCTAATGAAACAATAATGATAAAAGGGTAAATTATACACCGTGAAAAGATGAAAAAATTTACTGACGTTTCGGACGCTAGTCCTTCGTCGGAGTAAAAGAGCAACTCCGACGAAGGACTAGCGTCCCAAACGTCAGTAAGTTTTTTCATCTTTTCACGGTGTAAAATTTACCCTTTTATCATTATGTATCACTAACGACGACATTAAAAACAATAACGAAAATACGCATAAAATAAACAACAAAGGATAATGAAAAAAACGAGGTCATGGAAACTGAGAAATTTAACACAAAATGCATGCTCGCAAATGTTAAAATGTGCCAAAGATAAGGTGTTGCAACAGTAAAGAAAACCTGACCAACACTAACCTTGAGAGCTGTCGGGGCACCTCGAGAAGAAGAAGAAGCCAGAGTTTCTTCGAAGTTAACCTCACTCCAATCTTCAATCAAAATCGAGGGCACACAAAACCCAGAATGCCTTCGCCCTTCGACATTCCTCGAAGCAGACTCGTTGAGAGAGTTGAAGTTATCGCTCTGGTTAAATGTTTTCGACATTTTCAGAGAAATGTGATTGCAATCCAAGACAAAATCCAAGGCTTTTTCACTCAGTAAATCGTTGAAGGTCGTTTGAGGATAGGCACACTGCACCATATTTTATCCCCTAGAAAAACTCATTTGCATTGACGTCATAGCTAATCTCGAACATGCGCATTTATAAGGACTTGATAGTCATCAAAATCTATTTTAAGAAAGCAATTAAGGAAAATATCACTTCCGTTGCACATGCCCACGATCCATTGTTCTCTTCATCAGTTTTCAAAGCGGTAAATTTTCCAATAGACTCTATTTACCGCACCTGTTATCTTGGCCTAAACAAAGCGCCGATAGGAATCTTTTGAACGATTTTCCTTAATTTATATGTCTCTTGATATAAATTTTTATTCCATCTTTATTGGCTATTGAGAAATAATCTTGTTTTGGAAACGGCGGTTTGCGGGAAAAAAACAAAAACAAAAAACCTAAAATCCTACTCCGAGCTTTGAATAGCTCATTTAAAATCGATAATATATTCACTTTTTTGTCTAAACATAGCCAATCTTATATTTATTCATCAGTAATTTGTCTTCCTGTCGGTTGTTTTCATCCAGTTTTCTTTGTGTCCAATATTTTTGGGATGAAATGACTTGACTTGTGTTGGTATAACGTCTCCGCCACCGCCGCCCCACGGCTACGTTCATTACAATTAAAGGAACAGGACAACCAGTTAATTGCGTTCAAAATACCAAACTCGGAATTGTAAGCTTTCGGCAGCCATTTTTTCTTTTATATCTTTATATAATTTTCTTTATCAATTTTCACTTTGTATGTATATTGTGACAGTTTCAGTATAGTTTTCTTATACGATCTCTTTGTATGTATATAGCATATATTTTATCATCATAATAATAATACAGGGCCCCTCTGGATAACAGCTTTTAACTAAATGGGCCACCCCATCCAAATAAAGGTTCCACTCTCCATAACCAAAGCCAGATGGCATGCACGTAAAAATATAAAAAAAGAAGTCGTTTTTCTAATTGAAGCCTGGTCACAAGACTCAAAAGACTATAAAATCAAACGCTACAGCTTCGATCTTAAGTTTAATTTAATAGCTCAATTTAAAAAAATCTTTGAAAAACACGTCATATTACCATTAAACCTGGCAAAAAAGCGGATTGCTCCGGCTCAAAAACTTGATCTCTCACTTCAACCAAATTAGAATTGACAAACAATCGGTTATTGGAGTAAAGAAGTTCGCGAGCCTCATTTTTTTTAACTTTTTCTCATTTAAAGTCATTGAAGCTGTTGACATTAAACATTTAATCAAAGCCGCGAGTAATAAATCCAAACTTAAATCCCATGCACTTCTCGTTGATTCTGTTTCAAATCATTTTTAGCCTTGCTATTTTTCCATCTATTTGAATTTCGTTTTTATTTTCTGTTACATTTATTTTGTTTTCATACACTGCTTGATACTTATTTTTTTTGATATAAATAGCTTCGGGTCATTTTTAATGCAAACTGTACTTGCCTCGGAGAAAAATAAAACAAGAAACACTGCATGAGAGATGTTTTTGTTGGTTTAACTTTTGCATAAGTTTATTGATGTACATTGAAAGTAAACCAATACGAATGTAGCTCAATTCAATCGCCGAAAATCACAATATTTTCACAAAAACTCTATATTCCAAAGTCTTTTTAGATTCACAAACGAATAAAAAACAAAAATTTTCACAGAAAATTAAGATGCAAATTTGCCAACGAACAGCACTTTTTGTACTGTAGAGAAAAATGATTGATGCTCGTGGCTTAGAATTTTCAGAAAACTTTAGATCAATAAAGCGCTCAAAGAAGTTCTCTTTGAGAACATAGTTGTGGGAGTTAACTTTGTCACTATCGAAAAGAGGGGTAGTTTTTTAAAAAATAGCGGAAGCGAGGGGAAGATATTGAACAGTCAACTGAGAAACGATTCACGGAGTATAAATGGCCTTTTCGTGGGACCTTTCGTGATATGAAAACTAGTTTCGAGTGAGAAGGGGGCGTAAAATCTTGTCTTACGATAAGCAGTTTTCATTTCTAACTTGCCATCTGGTTTGGGCCACCCACATTTTCCTTGAATTATGAGCACTTTGTTTACTATGAGCATTGTTGAGCGAGAAACGAAAAAAGCAATTTCAATTATAATACCCATATTTCTCCTTTTCGAAAAACTGATATTTTCACATGTGAAAATATCGTTACCATGTGTATTTAAGCTATTAGTTTATAAATAAAAACTTTTTATTTTTTTCCGGTCCGTTATCCTAAAAACGCGTGCGTTCTGATTGGCTGTTTGAGCGGGCGGTATTTTGTCAGTACATGTATCTGCCCGCGCTCGCTCACCGGTAAACTTTGCCGCTAAACAACAAAACAACACGATTACAAAAACAAGTAAAAAAATAAGGGGGAAAAACGTTATTTGCCGTCCTATGGTCGGTCCGGATAGGCAATCAAAGGCCCTTAGGCGAACTCGTGGATACTTGTTGCACTTTTCGAATATTTAGATTGGTCTTCCTGTGCCCTCAGCTTGTTGACATTCTCAAAGGATTCCAAATACTTCGCTCGATTTAATATTTTGAATACTCAATTTATCTAGTAAGATGAGTAATCGTCCTTTT